CTGGTCTGTACTGTAGTCACTGCTCAATGTGCGTTCTTCTTGGCTGACAACAATTCCTTGGTCCATAGTTGCGTGCGCTTGGATTGCAAGAGTGCCTGGCTCTTTCACATTTTCTTCGTTATGACATGAATTTACCTGCTATTTTATTTGAATCTCAAAATTTTCGGATTTATCTCCTCCCACCGTATCGGTCAAAGTTTGAATCTGGCCATGAGTGCGCTCAGATACGACTTTAACTTCGTTATTCATGGACTCTATCTGTCGGTTCGTTTTACATTCCGAGTCCCTTGCCAATGCAGCCAGCATTTCACGCACGTCCTCTTTTATATTGTTTTCTGTTTTCATCATTCTCTCCTCAAATTTCCTTTCCATTTGCATCATTCTCTCCTCAAATTTCCCTTCCATTTTCTTCATTCTCTCCTCAAATTTCCCTTCCAATTTCATCATTCTCTCTTCAAATTTTTCCAAATAGGTTAATATGGCCTGCCCGTCTATCTTACTGTCCTTCGCATTTTCTATACATTTCGTCTGTTTATTCTGGGTCAGTAAATTAGCTCCTTCCTCCATTTCTCCCCCATTCTCTGTATCGTTGATCCCTTCCATTACTTCAATCTCTTGTTTATAATATTGATTACTCTAACTAACCTTGCATATCTGTATCTTTCATTTTCTTGTCTTCAGATTTCTTCCTTTCCTCCGCTGTTTCCATGCTGTTCCGCTCGCAGACTCCCGGTCCCCTCCGCTGTTACATGCCCCAGGTTGGTAGCGCCAATTCTACTGGCTAGCTGCTCCGTCCATCCTACTCGCTACCCTACTCTTAAACATGTCTCTCCTCTCTCCCTACATCCCAACTACTGTCCTCCTCCGCTCCCTATAACCGCCCCCCCATCTTTACAAGTCCCCCAGTTGGCATCAGAAAAACAAGAAAATAAAAAGGGAAAACCAAGGGTCGAGCCCAACATCTGGCCTACATTCGTATTTTTCGAGATGCCCATAAACCTCTGTAGGTCTTCAAGGAATCCAAGACCCCTCCTGGCTCGTCTCGTACACGATCAGTTCATGGGTTTATGATATACTGGGAGTAAACAGGCGGCGTTAGGGACAATAGCGGCACCCTTAGCCTAAGGAGGACAGTAGCGGAATTACAACTAGACGGTCCAGGGATGGTACCTCGCCGATGGAGCGTCTCTCACGGTATTAAACAATGCATAAATAGTTCTACCCTTAATTATATAATTTTGACGAGGGAAGTACGGTTACAGCTATTACTCCCATCTGTCCTGTATTTGGGACAGCACTTCTCGAATCCTGACATTAGTCACATCTGTGTCAATGGTGAACTTCTCTCTTGGCTGTGGGTAAGCAAGAATAGGGGCAGTACAGGGCCAGTGTAGTGTTTGAAAGTCGGCATCCACGGGAAGAATTGCTTCTCGTCGCTGAGTTTGGTAAGTAGTTTTACAGTATTGACAAAACTGGCAGTAACCCATCTGTAATAAGTACATAGGCCAAGGAAGCTTCTCATTTTGTGTTTGTTCTTCAGGGTCAGAAAATCATTAGACAGATGTTTACCTATATAGACTTTACTATAGGCTTCATTTGAACATATTTTAATCATCCTAATCAGTTTCATGGGTCCCCCAAATTGTATCGTAATATTGTACGATATTTCGCTCCTAACTTTCTTGAAGTACGTTAATAGCTGATGTACCATCTCATGGTACTCACATTTTTTTCTCCAGTATCTGACTAATGCAAATGATCTGATCACTAGTTGGTCTGTTTTTAGTTTTTTGAAGATTGATTGTAAGTCCTCTTTCTTCTTTCTGCACACCTGTCATCTGCATATGCAAGTATTTGTTTTCTTATATGTAGTTTGTTTAGTTTCCATCCTCAAATCTGACCACATTTTTTAATGCTAATTTAAAAAAAATATATGACAAGGCATCTTCCTGCCTTAGTCCAGTTGATGTTCCAAATGGTTCTGATCGATTATTCTGCATTTTAACTCTACATTTTGCATATTTCAAAGTTTCTCTTACAAATCCACTTAACTTATGGGTTATTTTAGATTTCTTCATAGCCTCAAGTAATTTATCCCTGTTTATGATGACATAAGTAGCTTTGAAATCTAAGAAAAGGTAAAATGTTCTGACTCCATATTTGAGTGTTTTTTTCCAGTATCTGCCTTGTTAACTGTTTTTGATCTATTGTTGACTTATCTACTTGGAACCCATGCTGATAATTTCCTATGATTTAATCCATCTTATTCTATTCCAATTCTGTTTTTATTATCTGTTTGTGTAGGATGTTGGAGAATATTTTATATCCTGTATTTAACAGGATGATACCTCTAATTGTTGAGCTGCATTTGGTCTTTATTGTAAACAGGGCATACAAGTCGTTCCTCCCACTGTTCAGGAATAACTTCATCTTTCAGTACTTGACATATCACTTAATGGGGAGTTATATCCAATACATTTTGTTTTATCATTAATAATTCAGTCATATTATCTTGTCTAGTCAATCTATAATCTTGTCTCAGCAAGTCATGGAAGCCTCTCATCTGTTCCCTAAACTCCCCCCTCCCTCCTGGGACATGACGCCAGATCCACAAGGCCACACAGACCATGACCGACTCACATAGCAACCCCCTCCCCCAGCTTAAGGGTTAATGCCCTCCCATTAACCACGCCTTTCTCCCCTGACACAATATCTTATACCTGCTCTAACCTTACTCCTGTCCCACACCCTTCCCCTCTCCCTCTCCACTGATTTCCCATGTAGACTTGTCCCCTTTCTTCCCTGCTCTCATATAGCTGAGTTTATTTCCAACATTAGTCTGCTTGTACCTTCTCTCACTCTCTCTTCGCTTGCAGATTTTCTTATTTTTCCTTCTACCCTGAAGATGGAGGTGATGCGTTCCTCTGAAACGTCGGTTAACACCACATCTACATGGTGCCACATCCCAGAAGACTGCTTTCTTCTATAATTTTTAACTTTTCTGTTGCATCCTTGATATCTTCTATGGTGAGATATTCATTTTCATTTGGCATTTCTTCTACTTCATTAGTTTCTTGTTCTGTTCCCTTTCTCATATAACTTCTATTTCTGAACCTCCCAGTGAATCCTGAAAATACCAGTTCCAACTATTCAGTGTTCACTGGGGTTTCGTTTAAAATCAGTCCATTGCTGTCTGCTATCAGCCCCCTTTTGTGTGATATTGTCACGTGTATCTTGGTAAGGCGACAGTAAATAATTCCTTCCAGAATTGATAACGCAATGTATTCGATAATTTCCACATTGTAACTGCAGTTAGTTATTAAACAAACACATCAACTACTGGACTGCCTTGAATGAGTTCTTCCTGACATATCTTCCTGAAGTCAAAGTCACATTGTGACTGACGGTCAGTCAGTCAGTAAGTCTTGGTGTCGAGCCCCACCTAGGGCTCATAACCAGATATTTATTACTGTTTGACAGTTATGGTCTTGTTTTTGTGGGGCACCCTCTCTGATGAAGGGACGGGTCTGAGTTTTATATATGCTGCTGGCCCTTGTCAGCGCAGTTTTTCTCGGGTCTTGAGTCCCTTGGGACTTGTGACCATATTTTACTGACTCAGATTTGAGACTTCCCTTTTCATCACCTCCTACGACTCACAGGGTCACGGTGGAGGTATTCGACCCTGCCTCCACATGGTTTCCTCATTTTGAACAGACTTCATTGCTCTATATATAGGCTCGGCACAGACCACTCACAGAAAACACATCACTGCTCAGCAACAGATATCATATATTGTCACATGTGTCCCCCCATGTATTGGCTAACAATGAACGTCCTATTGTTGCACATTTGTTGCTGTGATATGTGTTTACTGGTCAGTTACCTAGCACAGCTGTGTCCATACACGTTACAGTATTTTTGTGTCATCCTATAATAGGCTTCAATCTTGTTTTCAATGGCTTCTTTACACTCATCATCATACTGTTCAGTGATGTCTGTGATCTATTAGTGCATTATATCTCTAGTTAACTGTTCTCCCATGTGATGATCTCCATGTTCTTTTATATATACTTCTGTGTAGAAATATCATTCCGCCTTTCATCATCTGTTGCACTGTAAAATTTATGAGTCACTCTCCATTACCATTGCTTTTATATTGCGATCTGTGGCCTCCCACAATTGTTTTAGCTCAGCTCTCCTTTCTAATTTTATCATTAAGATCAAATGTAATCTTTATGTCAGATGAAGGACAGTGAATGTCCGTTCTCTCTAATTGCTCATAAAACTAATCCTTTTCCACTTCAATTTGTCTTCTGCTGGAGCATGTGCACAGATAATACTGTAATTCTGGAATCTACCTTTGTTTCTTAAACAGCATAATTTTCATATCTATAGGCTTGAAATCCGTAACCCATGTTCTGAGGCATTTTCTGACAGTGAAACCCATTTTAAAACAATGTTTTTCATGACAACTGTAAGACACCTTTTATTGTTGAAACGCTCTTAATAATCTGTAGGACTAGAAGTATACGTGTATATTATAAAAATGTAGGTTGTTTGAATTCTCCTTATAACTTCTTGTTAAATATCCATGCTGATCTACAATTTCAAAACTCTAAGAAGCATTAGATAGGATTGTTCTTTTATATTTAATACATTAATTTCTTAATGAAATCTGCAGTCAAAATAAGTCATGTTATAGAAATTTGTTTTTAAGTGAATTTGATTTGTTTCATTCTGGTCCGTCACACTAACAATTATAAAGACAAAACAGCTCGGTCCAGTGTGACTATTTAAGTCTGAAGATGATCCATAAGGATCGAAACATGTAAGGGTGCTAAGTTTTCAAGTAGTAAAACTTAAATAGTCGCACTGGACGGAGTTGTTTTGTCTTTATAATGGTTTTTAAGTGTTTGTCTGTAATATTTATTAATGCAGCATTACATTTGTCTTCCTATGCTTGGCTCACATACTAATTAAATTGAAATTGTCTGTTTCAGAGCTGCTCTCACAATCCATATTTATACTTCTTAGAAAACACAGGCCTCCAAGTCGAGGCATTCAAGGTACGATGGTTTACTACAGCTTTCAATAGGTTTTTTCAAAAATGTGGATTCTGGAGGCCCAAACTTCTGGACTGTTGGTTTACTCTTGGAATAAGATGTTCCTTAGCATTGCTTCCAGTCGCAATGTACATTGTCATCAGGACTGCACTGAATGCATGGCTGACCGGCATAGGCACTGGTGGCACATCATCACTTGTTTTGGAACCTCTGGTTAGTGAACTAATGTTAAAAGTAAGTTTACAGTCTTATGCGGTGTATTTCTGAAGAACTTCCTGCCTCCATCTTCAAGGATGAATTTCTCTCTTCTTTACTGTAGGTGGAGACATCAACTTCCTCCAATATATCAGTATATTTCTGCTAGACTACACGATGTCATGTTGTAGATACTGATATCTTAATACCACCATGAAAAGCCAAAATCTCATGTGTTAACATAATTGTAGGATGTGGTCCTAATTATATATTTACTAGCTGTACCCGGCCACGCGTTGCTGTGGCTCAGTCTGGTTAAATGAGAGAGAAAGAAAAGAGAAACCGCACGTTTCTAATATGTTTAATTTCACAATGCTTGTGGGTATACAATATTTTTTGTTGTTTCATTGTCTGTGCAGATATAGAGATTGTCTGGTTTGCCGACTCTAGAACATGCAACATATAACTGTCCATGTGAGAAGCAACCTGTGTCTAGATCTAAACTGCACAGTTCTAAAGATTGGCCCTGAGCTTTGTTGTTGGTGTTTGCAAACGCCAATCAAATTTGGAATTGCAATCTCTTAAATTGAAATGGCACATCCGTTGGAATCATAGGAATGCGAGGAATGAGGACATATTCACCGTTGAGAGGTCCTGTCAAGATTGTTGCTTCTACGACATTCCTCAATAATTTTTTTACCGCAAGCCGCGTGCCGTTGCAAAGCTTTGGCTGGTTGATATTTCACAACATGATAATTGGCATGCCTATTTTCAATTGCAGCACGTGCGGTGGCATCCCTGGCAGATCAAGTGAATTAAAAAAATCTGTTGGATAATTAACCGCTTCATCTGCTTCCACAACAGTGTCGACGGACTTGTATGTGACTGCCTCGCATTGAATGTTAGACTGAATGATATTGTTAAGTTTGTAGACGTCTTTGTTCTTGGCCGCAAGAATAGCTCGTTCACTCAGCCAATCATGATTCTTATAATTGATTTGAATATTGGGAAAATCTTTTTCAACCAATTCTCCTTTTGACGTCACTAAATTGCAGAAGTTATGAGGCAATGAAATTCGTCCTGAGGTCAGATCAACTGGCACCTTTCCGTTTCCAATTTCCGGCAATCGATGTGAGAATATCTCAGCTGACTGACCGTTTTGCAGCTGGACACGCATATTTGTAGTTTATTTCAACATCTACATATCGCCACAAAGTAGAGTATTTCAGGCAAGCATTTATTTCGTCCGCTGGTGTCAATCGAGGAATTACAGGTAATGTTTGCCTGAAATCTCCTGCAAGCAATATTAATGCGTTCCCAAATGGTCTGATGTTTCCACGCAAATCTTGCAATGATCGATGAAGAGCCTCAAGTGATTTGTTCATCTCAAACAATAAGTTTGTATTTCTGCAATACCTTTCCCATGCCTGATGCTTTGGAAATGTTGCACATGGGAGTTTCAATGAAATGCATGTTCAATGGCAATTTCGAAGCGGAATGAGCAGTTGTTCCACCTGGTAGCAATGTCGCAGCTATTCCGGATGATGCAAGAGCTAAGGCTATGTCATTTTGGGATCGAATTGCTGCCAGAATCAATCTAATTAGGAACGTTTTACCAGTTCCTTCTGGCGCAGCTAAGAAGAAGATTTCTGCAACCCCGTTATTGACAGTTTGCAATATTTGATTGTAAATGCCTTTTTGCTCAAGCCTTAGCTTAGGAATATTTGATTGCACATACGACAAAAGATCACCCGTGTTGTAATTTTGCTCACGACTCAATTCTACATTGAACGAAGCAGCAGCAGATTGATTGGGTGATGGCATTCCCAATTGATTGAGATCTTTGTTCGCGATTTCTAAGCACAAATCTTCAATCATTATCAATGCTTCGTTGTAGATTTCTGCTGTGAAATCCATGTTCATATTGGAATTTTTCTTGCATATTCGACGGAAAATATCTTCAGCCATTTGCGAATTATATATCTCCCATAACTCTGTTGGAGATGAAGGAGAGCAGGCGGTCAATATGATTGCAAACAATGTACGAATTTGATGTGGATGTGACGTGTTGCACGCGTCAGTAATGCATACATCCCATTGTCGGTCATTCTCCAGTAAATTCAGAGCTTGACATGCGCTGTGGAAAGTGGCATGTGTAACGCCGTTGACAATTCTCAGTTACTGGAAAGACGGACCGGGCACATTTACCAACAGCATGCGAAGAAAGAAGCATTCATCTTGATTGGGAGCACAGTGTACAGTCGGCCTATCTTAGTTTCTTTGAATATGCCAGTTTGTCCGTCGACTCACTCTCCTCATTTGCATCATTCAAATAATTTTCTACTCGTATTCCATGTGTAATACGTAGGCACTTCCGAATACAGCAGTGTTTTCGCAAACACGTCATTTTGACAGAATGCGAAGAAAGCAGTTTACGTTGTAGCCGGTGGATTAAGGGCTATTTGTTGCACATTTGCAGTTGTGAAGTAAATGCGTTGTCCATTTTCTAGATGTACTGCTAAGTGAACAACAGCTTGACTTTGTTCATGTATGGGAAATGAAAGAATTCGCCATACAGCTTCATTGCTGCTTATGTATCTTCCAGCCTGATACTGTGCGATTTCATCGATATGTATGACCGCATTCCTATCACTTCTTGCTGGTTGCACGCCAAAAACTGCCATGTCGCTGCCTTTATTCACGTACTTACAAATGTATTTGACCGATTTAACGGATTTACAGTATTCCGCGTTTATGTGCGCTTTGTATGTTTTTGATAGCAAAGGCGAATATGGAACAACCCACCGGTTATCCACTTCGATGTCACCCTTTCGCATTTGTATGGATGCTAATTTACCGCCATCTTCTGATCTTCTGTTCGAAGGATATCCATCGTTTCCTGTAACTTTGTTGGCTAGTAATGCTCGAGGATATCGCTTAGAGCATTTTCCGTCTGTCATGCATGGTGAATTTGGATTCAGCATACCGCAAGGTCCATGTATCATATTTTTCGTTACAACTTCATGCAAATCCTTATCGACGTCGGCATCGGGTATTTCAGCGCATATTACATCGTCGATTTCGTTTGAAGTGATTTTGTTATAGAGCCAGATTAGTATATGTGCGTGTGGCAATCCTCTTTTTTGCCATTCCACTGAGTACATCCAGCAGCGCACAGACCGATACACTTCATGTTTTACCATGAAATCCATCAGCGATTTCAGCTTCTGTCTGAAAACACGTGCTGTGATGTCATGCCTATCCACCGGCGATTGCCCAGGAAGTAAGAGCTGTTGTATATCGTCCCAAGCTGGATTGCATGTGAATGTAATGAATAGGTCTGGATGCCCGTAGTGACGAACATACGCAATTGCATCTTGAGCGTACTCATGCATATGACGTGGACTGCCTGTATATGAAGATGGCAAAATAGTTAGTCTTCCAACGTTAGTTGTATTACCGTCATTTACAACTGCATCTCGCAAATGAACGTATTCTTCAGAGCGAAGCTTGGTCTGATTCAGACGGATGAATATCAAACGTTCTGTTTCGATTTTTGCTTACATATCTACGATGTATTGGTGAAACAATTGACGGCATTTCAAAATGTGATTGTCTTCATTCTCTCGAATCATTAATCAGTATGAATAATAGTTCATTGCGCTGCATTTCATATTTGTTTCTTCGTCACTGACTGGATTTATCATCTTAACGTTGAAGTGATATCCATCGGCACCATCCCAAAAAATGATTGGATATTGCAGGGCATCGTAGCATTGATGAGTTTCTGCAACTTTTGTCAGTTGATCGTTTCTCTGATGAAGAACAATATCTCTAGGTTTGAATTGATCTCCGACTATAACAATTGCCACTTCGTCTATAGTTGGAGCATTGAATCTTCGCACATGTTGTCCAGCAGGCGTTTTGTCAGCATGAATAACAATCTTGTGTGTATCAGATGGCATCATGTCAATTGCTGTTTTGAACAAAGACACTAAATTGTTTTTTTGTGAGGAAGCTCTTGCAGTTGGGAAACGATGGACCTTTTTATGCCGGTAGAAATTCCGCAGCATGCATTCAATTCATCATTGCCATCGCCGATGAAATACATTTGTAGGAATTTATGTTGACCATCTGGGAATGGAAGCAGGAAGCTGGCTTTATGATAAATTTGTCCTTTCACTTTGAAAGTTGGCATGAATTGAGCTGTTACGATTTCTGCGCCGAACGACGTCATTTGGAAGCATGAATTGTATTTCCTGATGTTAGATAGGAAATGCTTTGATCCGGCGGTATATCCGGCAAGCAAAGTTTTTAATGTCTCTGGCAGTTCTCCAAGTTAATTCAGTTTAATTTTTCCCATGGCGCAACACATTCCTTTCGTTTCTCCATTAAATTCCAGAGCCTTGCAATAAGGACACACTTCAGTCATAGTGCCAATGAGAACATGCCGGTTCGAACTATAATCTTCAGCTGGGCTGTACCGGAATGCAAGGTGATTGTAATTGCGTGATTGCTGAGCACGGAGTCGTGTTTGACGCTGATCTGCTGTTTCTCGTTGACTTCTTTCAGCCACTCTCAGCCTGTCGCGTCCATTCTTTTGAGAATGAAGCAGATCTGAAGCTGCAGAACGCGATTGCCATGCTCGCAACCGTCCATCCTCAAGTCCGGCTGCACGTCGCTCTGCTGCTTCCTCAGCACGTATTTGAGCCATTCTTTGCCTGTTTTGCTCGTTCGCTGATGCCCATTCTTCCCCAGTTTGATTTGCAATTACTTGTCACACTGCTTCCGCTCGGCGAGTACGACCTAAGTTTGATCTTCTGCGAGGCATTATTTGGATGAACTAAAGCAGATCGATTGCACTGAAGAAGAAGAAAGAAAGTTATAACGAAAACATATAAAATTGCAAAACATTAAAAAAGGAAAGAACACAAACTGGAAAACAAAGAAGAAACCAAAAAAAATAAAAAATACTAACGAAATATTTCAGTTCAAATGCAGATCAATCGATGCAGCTC